TCCTCCGAGCTTGTGATCCAGTGGCCATAGATCCCTATATATATATATATCATGAACGTATAATTATATCTGTGCTCTATGTATATACAAATTTTATGTATAAATTATGTATTGAGATCGATATGTTCATGATATAAGTGTAATATAGGGAGAAAATAGTAAAGCGAAGAACGCCAATGTCATTGATTGTCTTGGAATGTATATGACTTTGAGCATGTACATAACTTAATAGAAATGTTTGTCATGTTTTTATGAGGCATTGCATGTAATGTGTGATAGATTTTGCATCTTGCTAAAGTTAGATAGACGAAGAAGACTAAAAGATTTTTGATGACATTTATTTAAATGTATGCACATTGGTAAAATTGTTACATAACATTCACTATTTTATAAAAAAAGTGAAATATTTTATTACAGGTTAGACTGGATCATGTAATGCCCACCCGAGAAGGTGCAACACTATTCTGTACTCCAGGCATCTTGCTCAGAAAATTGCAGAGCAACCAAGACTTGAAAGGTAAATTAATTAAAAGTAAACAGCCACAGTGATGTATATATGCCACGCCATCACAGACCAGAGAATGTGGTGCTGATGCCGAAGTCAATATTTCCCCCATTATTCACAATATATCGCTCCTTATTTCCTTTGGTTTCACTGCATGGCGTCATCATGTTTGTCTGGATATTTAATTACATCTGTATTATTTAATTACACTGTCATCATATTACGAGTAGTAAATGCAAAAATACATTTGCTATAATTTTTTACATTTTATAATGCAAATATTTGCACATATTATCATGCCCAAACGTGTAAGCACCTCTTCTCTCATCTGATTGCCTGATTGTTGGAATTACATGTGATGTGTTCGAGTGAGAGTGCTCATGTGGAGGTGTCTATATTCTGAATAATTTATGCATTTGTGAAGGTGTGACACACGTGATTGTGGATGAGGTACACGAGAGAAACGTCCTCACAGACTTCCTGCTCATAATATTGAAGGAGACGATACAGAGAAATCCCGAACTGAGGCTGGTTCTCATGAGTGCCTCAATAAATGCAGAAATCTTCTCTCGCTACTTTGACAAGTATGCTATGATATAGCTCCATTTATATGCCGTGCTGACAGACGTACTTCAAGTAATTTCGTGCTCCATTGTGTAATCGGTGGCAGAGAGTAAAAGGTGTACACGAATTGTGTTGAGGGATATATATATAGTTGTGCCGTCACGTTCTTAAGCCTGCCGCACATGCTGTGGAACTTGCTGTGCCATCGTCCACACGTGGAAAGTGGTGCAGCAAGTTCCACAGCGTGTGCGGATGCAAAATCCCTCGATCTGGGTAATGTGGAAAATATCACACGTTTGATATTTTCTTCCACGTGTGGAAGTTTGAACAGCGTGTGCGGAGCCTTCCACACCCAATTCGCATTGTTTGCTTGATTGTTCGCTTGGACACAGAGCGTCGTTCACACGATGTTTGATCGATCAGTTCTTGGACATGCCTCTATGCGAGCTGCCTGATATGTGAGCTGTGCGAGCTGCGAGCCGCGAGCTGAGAGCTGAGAAAAAAATATAATGCGTCCAAGCGAACAATCAAGCGAACAATGCGAATTGGGTGTGGACAAGGAGCTAAATATAACAGCTAATATGTTATATTTAGCTCCTTGTGTGTGGAAGGCTTCGCACACGCTGTTCAAACTTCCACACGTGGAAGAAAATATCAAACACGTGTAATATTTTCCACACGACCCAGATCGAGGGATATTTTTTGCATCCGCACACGCTGTGGAACTTGCTGCGCCACTTTCCACGTGTGGACGATGGCACAGCAAGTTCCACAGCGTGTGCGGCGGGCTTTAAGTTTCATACCCCATGTGCTGTTTGTTGTACTGTGTTTACTAATACTGTAATACAGATATTTAAAACCTTGGTGGGAAAAGCGTCATATTTTATTTACACTGTAATAAATAATTATAGTATACATTGTAAATAGATGTCGCACATGCTCACATGTTGAAAACAGGCCTTCAGATCTAATTCATGACCAAAATACAAAATCGTTAGATAATTAAACTAGATAAAAAATATGTAAGCGATGTACCTTATTATTGTTTGTGTATCGGTGTCTCTCACTATGGCAGGTACCGGTCGTTTGTCATACACCTGCAAAAAGTTAGCATCCTTTATGGCATTTCCAGTTGCCCGATCGTGAGAGTTCCAGGATTTATGCATCCAGTGGAGGATCACTATCTGCCTGATGTGCATCATATGCTGAGATCAGGAACACATGCCTCTGCTGTCACGGCAGACTCTAGCATGCCTGAGGTGCATTCAGGCACACCAAAGCTAAACTGTGAATTGGTCGCTAATGTGATAAAAAAGATATGCGATGACAAACCTCCGGTAAGTACGTGTTCGATTGCCATTCTGATATATTATTCCTTTCTGATTTCACGAATCTTTGATATAATATTTATGAGTTAGTTGTTCTAATAGTAATAAAAGGAGTAAATAAAAGAATAGAAATCGTAGTAATAGTAGTAGTAGTAGTAGTAATAATAATAATAATAATAACAATAATAATAATGATAATAATAATAATGTGTTCTCATACCTCACTTTTGCTATTACCATTTTTTATAATGAAGGGAGGCATCTTGTGTTTTATGCCTGGATGGAATGAGATAGCGGAGGTCTCCAGTATACTTGGAAACATGTTCGATGATCCATCACACTTCCTCGTTATACCTGCTCACTCAAAAATTGCACAACACAAACAGAATCAAATGTTTGCAAGGTAAACTACCATTTTTTTATGATGAAACCACATTAAAGGTTATTAACAAAAGGTTAATTCTTTTATTTTATTTTGTATCAGCAAGTATTTGGAAGGTGGTGCGTGCTTGTTGCAAGAGAATATAGTATTGGTGAGGAATTATGGCACATCTTGTGCCATTTCCTGGCTCTAAGAAAAAAAGTTATTGTACTAACTAACATTATATATACATTTTTATAACGAGTGATTTTAATTTAATTATAGAGTTCCACCTAATGTAAGAAAGATTGTTCTGGCGACCAACATAGCTGAAACCTCGATTACGATCAATGAGATTGTCTATGTTATTGATCCTGGAATAGAGAAAATTCTGAAGTATGATCCTGACAGAGGGGTGAGTACGTTCCTCTTCTAGTAAGGCCTAAAAAAAGACGTTTGTTTCCGCTAACCCGACCGAGTCCATTTTAAACCCCCATATCGAAACTTTTTATTGTGATCGGCCCAAAAAAAATTAAAAAGATTTTTTTTTAATGTTTAAAAAAATAAAAATAGCCCAACGTGATATCGATCGGTGAATGCATTGATTTGACTTTAAAGTCATTAAAGGGCTGTTATAAGTATAAAACAAGTATTGTTAGAATAAAAAATAAATAAAAAAATATTTTGATAAAAAAAGTTTTGCCTGCTTACCGTGTCCAATTTTTTTCAGCTCGTTAGCGGAAACAAACATCTTTTTTTCTCAGGCCTAAGATATATGAATATAGAAGGGGCATTCCCAAAAACGTTTCACTCCCATGCTGTGATTCGTGGACAGCACCACTAAATAGTTTAAAATGGGATAAATAATAATGGCAGGTTTTGTTTATTCGCGATGATTTAAAGTATGGTGAGTTTGTACTCACATTTAACCCCACCATACATACACAGGTTGTTTGCTAATGTCCACGCGTACGAAATTTGCTGCACAAAGTAGAACACTGCTGTGATTGTATCTCTACGTAGTATATACATATACGCACGCAAATATTCGCGAAATTATGACAATTATAGTGAGGAATCGCGCGTGTGTAGTCGGCTCAAAAGAGCAGCGTCGAACGTCGTGCGATGTTTTGAGCGCGCGTCAATTTTAGCGCACGGCTCGCGTGCGTTTACAGCGGGTGCAGCGATACGTCTGTGACACATACCTAAACGCGTACCCGAACGTGTCGCCTTCCCTGCCTCAGAAGTGGATCACGTACTTCAACAGGGTGCGTCCACCTTCTACGGTTTCGGTTTTCCGTACCGGTGTCTGACGCTGAGTGAATTTAATTGCGCTTAAAGTGTGGCGCTTAAAGGACAATAAAAGTAAATTAAAAATAATTTTTTTTAATGATAACATTTTTTTTAAGGATTCAAAATTTTTTTAAGGATTCAAAATTAAAGATATTATTTTTTTAAACAGGTATCGTGCCTGGACGTTGTGTGGGTGTCGCGAGCCAGCGTGCAGCAGAGGCGGGGTCGCGCGGGCCGCGTGCAGTCAGGCGAGTGCTTCCATCTCTTCCCGAGCGAGCAGCTCGATCGAATGCACGCATACCTCACGCCGGAGATGCACCGCATTCCCCTGGAGCAGATCGTGCTAGAGGCAAAGCTGCACTGCGAGGGGAAGAGAGCGAACGAGTTCCTGTCGCAGGCGCTCGAACCGCCCGAACCAAAAGCTGGTGGGTTTACCCGCATGACTCTTGCAGAACGAGGAAGGGGAAGGGATCGAACGAGATCGAAGTAAAATATTAAGTATTAATCATAATGTGAAATATGAAATATGAAATATTAAGACTATATCAAGTGAAACTCATGATTATCGAGGTTTGTTGAATTTGAGACATGCTGACGCCAGTAGCAGCGGATCGACGATGTTGGAGATCTCTTGTCGCTGCCCTATGTGCCATCTAGGCATACCTACGAGGGATAACTAACTATAACTAACTAACTTTGTTGAATTTGTGTCGATTCGACAGTTCGGCGTGCAGTTCAGGTGCTGCAGGAGTTGGATATATTGGACGTGGAGGAGAATTTGACCGTGCTGGGGAGAAGGGTGGCTCACTTCACCACTCACCCGCGGCTGTCAAAGTGCCTCGTTTACGCACTGCTTTTCAGGTAACTATTGTATAGCCGCATATAGCGTTTATTGCCGACACCAGCTCTGTAAAGAGTGTGTACCACATTTCATTATTTGGGTGAAATAGTGCACGTAAGCAGGACAATACGAAAACGTTATATTATAAAACGCCATCTAGGGATAAAACTGATTGAGCCTTTATGACAGTTTTTAAAGAAAAAAACTCATTATATCTTCAACCTCATGAAATGAAATAATGGATCATTATGATTATGATATCCAGTGTAGCAATGAGTGGGTATATATATACTTGCAGATGCTTGGACCCTGTTTTATCTATAGCTGCTTATCTGGGACAGGCTAAAGAGCTTTTTGAACAGACAATGGAAAATAAGAAAGAAGTTAAAGAGGTATGTGTAGTGAGGTACTTTATTTAAGTATTAATATTATATATGCATCTCTGTGATTGATCCCAATCTTTGAAAATCAGCAACATCCAAGGCATAGCTGTGTTAACAACCCTTGCTGCCTTAATTACATATACCTAAAATAGCCTATAGCTCTGGCACGTATTACCAATTCTTACATGGCTAAAATTGCCTGAACCAAAATCATTCGACAGTAAAGCGGGCTTTTAAGGTCTTTGTTTCTGGGCTTTCCTCAGATAAAATGTCGATTTTCCCTGCAAAGCAAAAGTGATCACTTGACCTACGTGAATCTGTATGGAGCGTGGAGGGATGCCTACAGGCAGAACCAGCTGGCAGAGCGCACGTTCTGTGAGACAAATCTACTCAGTCGGCCCAACATGAGGTTCATGCATGGTAAGGCAGTGACCAGTTACTACAGCTGAGAGGGTCTATGTCCCCCAGGGTACTGCTGGAACGTACCCTGGTACTATCTCATATGCGGGACTGTACCTCGCCTACTCCAATAACGAGTCTAGGGAGTCACCTACGCCTACACCCTAACCCTAACCCAAACCATATCAGATAGTCACCAGGGTATGTTCCGGCAGTATACCCTGGGGGACATAGACCCTATGAGCGTTACTGCATGTATACGCTGTATATTTCGCGGTGGTTTAATTTTCGCAAATTTCGCGAATGCGTCCCTGACTGCGAAAATAACAACACACGAATAATTCATACTGAATAATATCGAATAATTCATAATTCACCGACCGCGAAATTAACCACTAGCGAAATTGTCCGTCTTCCACTTGTGAATTTGCAAAAATATCTGTACGCGAAAAATATGGCGTATACAGTAGATTAATGAAATGTCGGGTGAGACATGTAGACGAGATGGATCGAATATTACACATAAGAGGCAAACATGCTTCAAAATCTAAGAATGTTCCTGATGTAACAGCTTTAAAGGTAACTGTTTACACTGTGCACAACTTGACACAACTTTAACACAACTTTACACAGCATATAATGAAACAGTCATGGTATATAGAATCGTTTAACGGATCGATTAATGGACATTCAATTGCAATTACTAATGGAGGAGGACTCTTGTATACGATATTGTAATGATATCAATGAATTATATCAATATCAATAAATTGCAGTATTATATAGTATAATATTTATATGTGTTTTGCAATTTCATGTTCATTATCTACATTTTTGTTGATACTGTTTATTGATACTAGGTTCTGTTTTTATGCTGTAGGACTTAGACATCTGTACTTGGAACATCTGTTTGATGCATTTCTGTTAGAGAGTGTAGAAAGTGGCAACAATCTGTTAGACACCAACAACGATCTGTCCCACTGTCACACGCTGATAAAGGTAAATTAATCACTTAATAATTAACTAACATCGCCTTTTTAATTATAATTGACTACAGTTTTAATGCTGTGCTATGTGCTGCGTTATAATTCTCTGATTTTACGACACAGAGGTACATTCGTTTTCTTCCAAAATTTCAACACTCTCAGTTCGTGTAGCGTGCGTATTTTTATTGCCAAGTAATAATTTGTGAGATATGTGGAGCATGCAGTGATCCCTTGCTAGTTTACAAACAGCGATGGCTGCGTTAACAGGGAATCCTTCTGGCGGGGTTCTATCCCAACATGGCTAGGATCAAACGTGGAGAGCTGCACAAGGGCAGGATCAAGCACGACGCCATTGTGCTCTCATCTTTACGTGACGGCGTCACGAGAATGCACACCGACTCCGTTAACAAGCAGGAGAGAGAGCATGACAGCCAGTGGATCACGTACTTCAACAGGGTGCGTCCACCTTCTATGGTTTCGGTTTTCCGTACGAGTTTCCGCTGTTTCACGCCGAGTGAATTTAATTGTCCTTTAACCTTAGAGTAGTTATATAGGAGTGAAATATCGGAGGGGTTAGTATTGTGGGTAAGTGTTGATATTGCTAGATGTTGATTTTCATTGTTGTGTATGTTGTGCTGCAATTACTTGGTTTAGGTGAAGTCTGTGCAGATGGGAGCAACAATGCTCAGGGATACATCTACTGTGCAGCCATTGGCAGTTCTCATGTTTGGAGGTCACAGATTGACGGTGGCCTCACCAGATGAATTTAACACTAGTCACAGCAGTGGTGAGAAATTGTGCTCAACTTTCAGCATTATAGTTTTCATCCGAATGTCTGTTTATGCCTTTTATAGCAAAATGATTTATTATTGCCTTTTTCCCAATATTAGAATTGAATTAATTAAAAGCTGCTATTATTCAAATAGTTATATATAATATTTATCATCACTCTATTGTAATATTTATATTACTTATATTCTATATACTTATACTTAAAGATGTAGTTATTATCCACATGTAACACTTAGTACCTAGTGGGTTATGTGTATGCTCTAATCATTTAGCAAATTAGAATTACCGATGTGGATATAGAAGACAGTTTTTACAATATTGTATCTATTGAATGAAATTTACACCGAATCATTGAAAATTATTATGACTAAAAGCCCATCTCCTCACACGCGGCGCGGCACGGAACGCCACGGAAACGGCGTCGTTCACCCCTACCGACAAAGTTCAAATCGATTATATCTTATGGCGCAGTCTCCACTGACACGGCACGGCGCCAGCCCGGTTTCACAGGCACTCAAATGAGTTTGACTTTTGCCGGCTGCCGTGTACGGAGAAAGACAGTTGAACCAATCAACGCGATTGTTTTTTATCACGTGTTCTGCTCACGCCACCATCAGCCAATGGACAACAAGCACATGCATAATTTCTGATCACTGAACCAGAGTGAACACAATGCGCTCAGGTACCATGCGCGAAATCACAATGTATTTTTTTTCAGCACAACGGCGCTGCGTTTTGCTGTGTCGTGTCGTGCCGCATGTGTGGAGACATAGCTTTACTATGGTAGTGTTGTGTCTGTTTTAGATCACCTATCTCAGAGCAAAGCCTGTACAGATGAAGCCGTTATAATGGTAGATGGTGATAAAAGGGTTGCCTTTTCCTGCAGCAAACGGTAAATATGTCATTTAACTTCAAGAGAAAACATTCTAAATCAATGTCACGTGATATAGCATTGGAGGAAATCTGCCTGCTAAACGTCTCGAGATCGATTTAACCACTGAACAGTTTTATTGTAAATGTCATAATTATTGCTGGTAGTAGCTGTCTGAATATGCAGCAGTATACGGATGCAAAGTGAGAATTGTGCCCCCCTGACATGAATGCCTCCCTGGAGTTGGTAAAAGTGCCCTTACTCAATCACTGATACCTCACGCACATGCCCCTCCACTGATCGTCACCGTTGTGTCAGTGTGTCATATCAACCGATTTCACATGCAGAGAAGCAGAGATGCTGCAAGACTACAGAGATGCGTTGAACTCTATTTGCACTCACATTCTGACGACACCAACGATCCTGCAGAGTGCGGATGCTGATGGTCGTGATGGTGATGGTGAGGAGGACGATTCCGTACGGGAGGTACGCATACAAAGGGAAACGCCAATCAACGCTTCTGATGTTGATTTTCATTGTTGTGTATGTTGTGTTGCAATTACTTGGTTTAGGTGAAGTCTGTGCAGATGGGAGCAACAATGCTCAGGGATACATCTACTGTGCAGCCATTGGCAGTTCTCATGTTTGGAGGTCACAGACTGACGGTGGCCTCACCAGATGAATTTAACACTAGCAGTGGTGAGAAATTGTGCTCAACTTTCAGCATTATAGTTTTCATCCGAATGTCTGTTTATGCCTTTTATAGCAAAATGATTTATTATTGCCTTTTTCCCAATATTAGAATTGAATTAATTAAAAGCTGCTATTATTCAAATAGTTATATATAATATTTATCATCACTCTATTGTAATATTTATATTACTTATATTCTATATACTTATACTTAAAGAAGTAGTTATTATCCACATGTAACACTTAGCACCTAGTGCGCTATGTGTATATGTGTATGCTCTTAATTATTTAGCAAATTAGATTTACCAATGTGGATATAGAAGACAGTTTTCCAATATTTGAATTCTATTGAATGAAATTTACAGCGAATTATTTCATTGAAAATTATTATGACTAAAGGCCCATCTCCTCACACGCGGCGCGGCACGGAACGCCACGGAAACACGTCATTCACCACTACCGGCAAAGTTCAAATCGATTATATCTTATGGCGCAGTCTCCACTGACACGGCACGGCGCCAGCCCGGTTTCACAGGCACTCAAATGAGTTTGACTTTTGCCGGCTGCCGTGTACGGAGAAAGACAGTTGAACCAATCAACGCGATTATTTTTTATCACGTGTTCTGCTCACGCCACCATCAGCCAATGGACAACAAGCACATGCATAATTTCTGATCACTGAACCAGAGTGAACACAATGCGCTTAGGTACAATGCGCGAAATCACAATGTATTTTTTTCCAGCACAACGGCGCTGCGTTTTGCTGTGTCGTGTCGTGCCGCATGTGTGGAGACATAGCTTTACTATGGTAGTGTTGTGTCTGTTTTAGATCACCTATCTGAGAGCAAAGCCTGTACAGATGAAGCCGTTATAATGGTAGATGGTGATAAAAGGGTTGCCTTTTCCTGCAGCAAACGGTAAATATGTGATTTAACTTCAAGAGAAAACATCTTAAACCAATGTCACGTGATATAGCACTGGAGGAAATCTGCCTGCTAAACGTCTCGAGATCGATTTAACCACTGAACAGTTTTATTGTAAATGTCATAATTATTGCTGGTAGTAGCTGTCTGAATATGCAGCAGTATACGGATGCAAAGTGAGAATTGTGCCCCCCTGACATGAATGCCTCCCTGGAGTTGGTAAAAGTGCCCTTACTCAATCACTGATACCTCACGCACATGCCCCTCCACTGATCGTCACCGTTGTGTCAGTGTGTCATATCAACCGATTTCACATGCAGAGAAGCAGAGATGCTGCAAGACTACAGAGATGCGTTGAACTCTATTTGCACTCACATTCTGACGACACCAATGATCCTGCAGAGTGCGGATGCTGATGGTCGTGATGGTGATGGTGAGGAGGACGATTCCGTACGGGAGGTACGCATACAAAGGGAAACGCCAATCAACGCTTCATCCTTGACAACACATAAACAGGGGGGGGGACTCTATATACCTCTAGCTGTAGAATTAGAAAAGAGCTGTTCTCCTAGGGCGCGTTTGTTTGGTCGGATCCATGGATCTCGATCCGATGGATTCGTTGATCTGACCGTTTGTTTGGTCGGATCACTTGATCTTGATTCACCAAACCCGACCCTGCTAGCGAGGTGGATTCAAACGGGATCCAATATGGCGACCCGCGCCTCAGCCAATCGCAGCTTGTTCTTTGTTATGAACCATCCCGTGATAGGTCACAGCGACACGTGAACCGGTGAAAGTGAGTTTGCGTTTGTTTGGTCGGATCAGGATCACATGATCTCGATCAGACGGATTCGTCCCAAACAAACGCGCCCATAGACTATAGCCAGGTTTACCGATGGAAGAATTAAGCTGCCGGCCGTGGGGCTATTCTAGCTGGTTGGTAATGCACAGCCGTTATCAAATGATAAAAGAAATAGTTAGGATGCCTAAATTGCTGTATGGTGCTAATGATGATGCTTTCTTTTCCAGATAAGATCCCTGTATGAAATGATCATCAAGACTACAGCTACACTTCTAGATTTGTAGTAACACGACACCATTAATGTCATCGTCAGTCAGTTGAGGGAGGAGCAGAGGAATGGAGGGGGGAAGGAATGGAGGCTAGAGGGAGGGGGTGGAGGGAAAGAAGTAGAGAGGGAATGAGGGGGATAATTTTGAGGTGTACATAGGAAGAAAAACGTTTTGTGATTCTACTGAATTTTTTTTATAATGGTTTTCTGCTTTTTTCAGCTGTGCAATTATGTAAATATATTAAATACATTGCTTAACATGTAATTTTAAAATATATGAAGAGGCTTGGAGTATAATATGCCAAATATGTGAATTATTATTTGTTTCAAAAATAGGTATTTAAAAGTAAAATAATTAAGATGAGCTGAATGTAAGTATCCTTGCTTATGCTGGAATTCATGATGCCATTACTCAAAAAAAACCCACAAACTTCTTTAAAAAAAAAGTAAAGATCAAAGAACTGATATATAGTTATTATTTATTTTTATATAACAAACATAAACATTCTCTTAACAAGTACCATTCTGACTAAGCCACATGAACTGGTGACACTAATGGTACTGCACGAGGGGGTGGGGGATGAAACAATACGCTGCTGATACATTCTGCATTTGTTTCTGCACAGACATTAAAATATCCACACGACTCCTCAGTAAAAATCACCCCGTGGAATAGCAGCAGCATCCCCTAATTCTCAAGTGGACTTCGACGCACTCAATTCTACTACGCCTCATGTGCTCCTACGTCCACATAAACTTGGTCTGCCGCACTGGAACACAGCACCCTAATTACATTACTCTGAATTATTTTTTTACTTACATTACTGAAGTTCACAGTACTATAATCAGCATCACAGTTCTTTGCACTGTAGGGTCATACAGCAGATATGCACATAATGTAATACACAACTGTATGAGTGACATCTATCATGTCTATCATCTAATTATAATCATCTATTGTCAGTGATAATCAGCATATGCGAGACAACAAACGGTGACTAGGATGCTGAGGTATTGCAAAAAGCAGCGCACTCGACTACAGCTAAAATGCACCCACAATTTTGATGATAGTATTACGCCCTACTCCATGCAGACTAAACGATAGCAAGGATATACTAATCCTATGCCTATACCTATGACCTACGACCTCCGCTAAATTTATAATGAACTAATAAATTTTTAGCAAGTGATTTGAAAGCAAATGCAGCTCCAACTTCACTTACCAATCATGATACCTCGATGAAGTACTAACTATACTAGGATCATGATAACGTAGAACAGTGTAGAATACGTTTTGTGAGTTAAAAGTCCTAAAACAGTTTTGAAATACGTTTGTGAAATTCCACTGGATAATAAAAGGGTCTGTGATAGTCCGCTCATTCATTAGTTACTGCAGCTTATCACTTCACATAAAAACTGAGCGAGTTCCAAATATTGCACTACATTATCGATACATCCACTTCCGAAAAGCAGACAGGTGATGAATATTAAACGTGCGGGATCCCACAGCCACCTAGAATCCCTGTAATTCACAAATCGTATGGCCAAACAATGCTGCAATCACTGCGTGTGTGTGATGGGAACAAAAGCGCTAGCAGATTCTCAACACGCGCAGATGAGACTAGCCACAATTAACGGAAATGCTAACTAAATCTTTTGTGCACTGTTCGAGCATGTTGAAACACAAACGAAAGCCACCGCTGCAAGGAAATGTGAAACTGCACCTTCTACATTTCCTACCACATTCCTACTGCCATTCAATTATTCCTTCCCTTTTTTTTCCTCTACCATTCTCTATAAGGTAACACAGCTTAGTGTACTCATTCCATGTGGGAGCAGCACGGAGACACACGGCTGGCTTCGTACACGTGGAGAGGGAATCACTACGTACAGTCACATGGATCTCCTGCCAATCGGGCGTTGCGGGTGCGGAAGAAATGCTTGCCGAATTCGTAGCTGCTAATCATAATGGCGCACGCCGGCGCGACCTTGACTATGCGCGGCACAATTCCTATGCAAACAATCACGTTATCAAAACGGCGCATACACACTTAGCTCTATTTTGCAACGTAAGAGCCCTGCCATGGTCGCATACAGTGGATCTCGCTTCGAGTTATTATACTTCTTCTGCTAACACTACGTGACCATATTAGCATTACACGGTTGTGACTATAGACATTGCTCATATTTGTGCTACACAGTTGTACACATTACACTATTTTGACCATACAAGCAGTCGTCCTACTCTCGTAACATGACTCTTATTTCTTTTCGATGGGCGACAGTCTGGCAATAGATATGACGCTGTGGCCCATGACAGAATCTTGTTGTGAAACCGCTACCTGGGTTAATTACCTACCTGCGAACAAGCTTCTGAACCCCTTCTCAGTGTAGAGTCGACGAATGAGATGACTCGTCTTCATTTCGTTCGGATTCGTCGCCACTGCAACGCGTTCAAAAAGGTGAGAAGGTCAAAGGTTAATAATTAATTGTTAAGGTCAGGTACGAAAAAACGTATAAGTACACATAACACATGCATTACTGTGGAGCAACCAACAATAATGGATACATTGCAATGGTAATGACTGCAAGCCCAAGGTTGAGCACCAATATTCTTATTTAAATAGTTTTTAGTCAATAAAACAGGCTAGTAGCTAGCACTTACCGTGCGCCAATTCTCTTTGCCCAAGTTCAATCTGCCGATGCGTTTTAACGACATCGAATGGAACCGTTATCACAGCAGCAACCTGTATGTACATGTTGTAATTAATTAGCAGCAGTGAACGGCTTACTCAAGGCAGAGCAATACTTTCACATCTACATCTGTATACGACTATACGCACATCTCAGCAACGATCACTCGACTTCGAAGCACATGCTCGCAAATTTCAATGTGTCACTCTTAGATACGCTTTCGTAATCTCAGTGACTGATTAGTAAATTAGACTATATAGAAACGATGAGTTATTACTATCAATCGGACGAGCCATCATTGAGCATTAGATTTGCCTACCGTCATGGAACAAGATGAACAAATAGTATCTCAAAAATACATACACTTCCAGACACAGCTCCAGCTGTGAAACTCATGGCCAGGCTTGGATCCTTGCATGCAGACGATCGTAAAAACACCGACTTTAGGTATTCGTACCCAGACCAGTATATAGCTGTAATGCACAAATTACATGGATGTAGTTATATGGCGGGAAATGACACGCGCACAAAACAGAAGGCAGCACAGAATTATGATATTACATAGCATTTCTGATATAGTATAAAGATCGAGATTGCTTAATCGCTTAAAATGCTTAATCGCTTAATCGCTTAAATTGCTTAATTGCTTAAAAAAATTCGAGATTGCTTATCGTTTTTGCATAAATTCAGTTAAATTATGGTTCATTTATTGCATTATGCATCTTGCCATTGCTTTTTTCTGCCTCTCACAATGGTGACATATGCTGGTCATATTAAGTTTATTTTCCAAAGCTTTATACATTCTCTATCACATCTATCACACAAAGCACAAGGATATCAACAAAAAACCAACAACAGCACTGTGTATACCTGAGAAAGGAACATCCCTAAGGAGTGTTGGCGACAAGCCCCGCCATAGAGACAGGATCCCACCGTTGCTAACGGATTTTCGTATAGCCGCTCCTATCTCTGTCAAATTACAATACGAAAAGAACAATACAGTGTAATTACACTTGTGGTATCGTGACCAATGTATGAATTAGACAAATATGATTTCAATTATTACCACAGCTCTCTCTAGGAATTTCAGAAGGCATGTCGGTCAATTGGACAATTCATACCAGACTGCTAACTGGAGTCGATTACGTGCATCCTAAGCAGCCTCAATACACAGATAAACTCAATCAGTTTTAAGATGTATACATGATGCTGTGAAACCACACCATGATTGTGTTAGTTTCGTCAAAAGTAAACACAGCTGAAGGGTGGTTAACAGCACAGGTAAGTGGCTGCACTTAGGGTAAGTGTAAGCACTGGTATATAAACACAGCACATGGAAGTTTTAAGGTTTGTCGATAAGGCAATTAATGCATGTAGGAGGATGTATGGGATGTTGCAAACTAGCTTCAGCTTTGAAGCACGTTGGACCCCGACAGGCATCGAAGGAAGAGAACCCTGCCTCATGGGGCCATTGATTATTATAACTGAGAAAGTTGCTTAGCTAAGAGTAACAATAGCACTTGGTAGGGTCAGTTTATCACTTGTGTAGCACATGACAATCACATATAGGCTGATTAGACATTAGTGCATGCATAACTCGGCGGCAGGAGGAACTGGTAAACTGAATATCATTTCTATAGATTTGTTGGCGATCATCATTGATTTAACGTAACCAAGAAAATAAGGTATAATATACGTATATACCAAGAAAATGTGATAAAGGCACGTACCTTTGTAGCTGAGTTGCTCCGACTGCATCTTTGTGCGTACCAGCTCCAGAGGGCTTATCACAGTAACTGCTATCACTGAGAAAAATAAACATGAAAATCAGTCGTCCCAGTAATCGTAAACACGGCCATAGTTGTAAGCCATTCCAAAAATGATATAGCATATAATTTGAACAATTGCACAACGATATAAATACATTTTGTGTCCAGCTATGGCCTATGTATATAAGGCATGCATAATGCGAACATAAGCACGTGCCATGTTTCGTTAGGAAGGATAGATCTTTCCACTAAGTTACAAAAACTTGTATACGAACATGTATCCTAAAAAGTGTGATCGCACCACAAAAGAATTTTTGATTACTTTGAGCAACAGAAAAGATCAGCTTGACTAAAAACATTTTCGAACATAAACACAGCACGTGAAACTATGCGTTTTATGTGCATGTACACGTACACCTTGTATACATTACCTCGTGCCAATGCTCCAGCACTCATCACAAGTGCGAGATTGTAACTCTGAACTCCAAAGCATCTATAGAACAGATCCCTCAGATTGTCATATGATGTGAAGTATATCATTGTAGCTGGCACAGCCATAACTCTGCGAGAAAGATAGCGCACATTAACAGGTTAGACCTGCTACATCCCTACACCAAGTCGTTTCAAGATACACAAACACACCACAGGGTATTAGCCAGGAATGGGTATTGTGGGAGACTGGGAGTGCAGGAAAAATATTTGGGAGTGCAATTTTACAAATGTACACGGCTTTAGATCAATATTTTAGGCCGTGCTACACATTTTTGGCCGTGCAAATCACGGCTGCACAGCTCGCTGGCTAATACGTTGACGCACCACGTTTTCAGGCTAAGAAATCAAGTAAATTTTCAAGATGGCTTGGGAAAGAGACCTACATCGTATTGCTCATATTACTGTTGTTGAACTACTTGCACCAGTTGGCGTTAATCTCAGATCATAGACTACAGAATATCAATATTAAATCTATCAACTGCATGCAAACAAACAAAATAAAATAGGTCATGACATTATTATGATTGACATAATAGAATTTATAAAAAAATTAGTTAAAACCAGACTGGTTTTTAATTTTTTTTAATGAATTATTGACATATGTTATCCATACAGTGTAGGTGGCAATCCACTCCATAGTGCTTGAACGCCTTCGTGCCTGGCTATTTTAACAAATGCATCCTGTAATAATATGGTTGCAAATCAAAGTATGAGATGCACTATAAGAACAAAAGCCACGTATATTTTTACTTTATCCCTATATTTCACTGCTATTCACTGCTATAATTAAATCGGAAATACTTTTAAAGATAAACTTGCCGGCCAATTTAAAATATAGTTATATATACAAACATTTATACAATTTATATGCAAGAACAATTGATTATTGCTATAATGTACATAACAATGAAAATAAACATTTACCGCAGTTCCTCCAAATTTTACCACGTGGACTGGCTCAATTAGGCGAATCTGTGAAGAATTGAAAAATAATTACAATCAATCAAATTGGAAAATACCATGCAGGTGCATAAAGCAGGTGCTTTGGTTTTGAAATGGGTAGTGCTACGTCACTGGGATTAACACTTAAATTGTTTTGGAAGAGCACAGAATATTTTAATGCAGCTTCTAGCGTTCCGTGCCGCTAGGTTATTCAACTGTCGACAACCTCTTGGTCAAGCAAATATAATTGATTGTTTGCATGTACATTAGACATTATTAGTGGCTTATATCAGTCACTAGCGTGGCATTCACAGCAGGAAGATGCACTCAGTTCAATATATGAATTTGCATCTCCTTTTTGCATGCAAACAGATCTCTAATGCAGTATTTGACATTATTTGTTACTTTCATATATGCAAAACGCAGGGTAAACTAGCGCTGCATTGGCGGTAACGTCCCAGTTGGCCTACTTCCCATTTCGCCTACTTTCAGAATGGGCAATATTCCCATTTCGCCTACTCTCAGAATGGGTAATAGTGCCATTTTGTCGTAGTATTGATATTACAACAAATACCAGGAGAAATTGTGCGACTTTCCACCACGTTTTCCTAACTGCACTATAATAAAATTCAGTTTAGAATGATATTTAGTCGATGTACCTTTGAACAATCAGTGCACACTGATGTTCCAGAAAATCTGATTTCACCCTGGTGCTCATGCCAACCAGGTTTTTCCTTTTCTATAGCATGGACAGCTTCACTGACACACAAGCAGAGGTGATCCATGAGTCCATTAGAGTATATGAAGAACTGCCCCTTTGCAAGAGGTTTCTGTTGTGATTGAAGTCTGATCTTTACTACGTCTAACGGAGTAACTGAAAGAATGGTTGATAACTGTATTAGAAGATAAAATGCCATCGATCACATCATCACACCTGAAATGAACATGAATCGGAAATCGGAAGAATTAGTTAACTAGTTATTTAATTAGTTAATTAGTATACAGATATAACTGTTTAACTTTTTGATAAATGGTGCTATAGTTATAGCAGGGAAAATTGGTTCCACCTTTTCAATTGGTGCTAAATTGAGACCAGTTCAATGTTCAATTCACATTGATTTCAATGTCTGAAATTCCAACAGGTGCACTCAGGATAGCACTATCCTAATAACAACCCCCGGAATTTTGGCTGCTAAGCTGTAAGCAAACACAGGTTGACTATATTTAAAATAGGGTAGGTAATCGTAACGTAGTAAAGGTTCAATATCACAAAGTTGCAAGGTATGATTTTGGTAGAGAAATACACAGTGACACACACAGACAGGAATACGTACACACACACACGCGTACGCACATGCACACGTACGCACACGCAAGCACGAGTATGAACACGCACACACACGCGTATGCACACGCACACGCACACGTGCGCGCACAGACACACACGCACACGCGCACGCGTGCGCGCATACACACACACGCACGCGTGTGCGCACACACACACGCACGCGTGTGCGCACACACACACACACACGTTCACACACACGCACGCAAGCACACATGCACGCAAGCACACACGCACGCAAGCACACACACACACACACACCCACGCAAGCACACACACACACACACGCACGCAAGCACACACATACTGAAACATACGAAATCCGTATACCGAAAAAGGACGTCACCAGTGCTCCCGAACATGACGAAATAATTTGTTGTTTGGGTGTGATAGACGTCGTATCAAAGCACGGTCGCGAAACGACTTGATCACGTTCTTCATTACCCGTCATACTTGATAAACAAGCTAATTACGCCGCCAACCCGACTCTTATATTCTCACTTTTTAACCGTTAAAGAAAGTAGCCATGTCATGCAAAATAACCAGTTACGCTAAGAGTAAGATAAATAACGGTTTATGGTCTATGCCTATGGTTTTATAGTTTCCAATAAAAACATGCCATAACAAGAGAACACCAAAATTACCTAACAGGGTGTTTCACGCGACAAGCATCTTATTATTGTTACCAAGAATAACAATAGAAATAACCAATTAAATATAAAATCTTGAGTAAACTAAAATTTAAAAAATATAGCTAAAGTTATTTTATTATATAACTTTTACCATTTCAGAGAAGTCACATATATGTCACGACCGATTTCTTGAAAGAGGATTTGTCATATGGTCATATTATTCAAGACGGTGAAGACGTCTATTTTGTGGTTTTATCCAGCATCTGCTCTTTTTCTTCGTGTTATATTTTAACTGTAAGATATTATATCTAGTATAAAATGGCATGTGGAGGGTTCACCTGCTCAAAGAATGCCCTGACGGCGCTAAATATTCTATATATTGTAAGTAAAGCATTACTATCAACGTTTAGAATCTTAGGCTAAAACTAAAAGCCTAAGTCGCCTATTTAATAGTATTACTATTAGTATTAGTATTAGTATTAGTATTACTATTAGTACTATTACTAATACTATTAGTATTAGTACTATTACTAATAGTATTACTATTACTTATTAGCTCTAGTAGTAGCACTATAGCCCGCGTACAGTTGCCGCAGGGCTATAGAACGTAATATCAATATGGCAATTTCCAGTGAGTAAGCAAAGACAACTTTTGACCGATAATAACTTCTTCGGTATGCCAAATAAAACACATTCTCTGCCGGACAAATGTCTTAAGAAATTAAGTTACTACAAACACTAAAAGTAAAATGAAAAGACAAACTAACGCTTAAATATTGTACTTGCGATATTACTCGTCGACAAAGAATGTTTATCAACTTGTAACCGCAATTTCTCGTTGCGCCGCGCTCGCGCGGTTCCTGCGCTAGTGAGCGGGCACAATGTATTTCCAAGTGGAAGGGTGGGCAGGTTGCACGCGGATTTAACCGCCATTTTTTGTTGCCATATAATGCAACCGCGTGCAACCTGCCCACCCCTCCACTTGGAAATATATTGTGCCCGCTCACTAGTGAAAAATGGCGGTTACAAGATTACAAGTTACAATCTTCGTCGACGAGTAATATAGAAAGTACAACATTTAACCGTTAGTTTGCAGTTTAATTTTAGTGTTTGTAGTAACTTAAGACATTTGTCCGACAGAGAATGTGTTTTATTTGACATACCGAAGAAGTAATTATCGGCAAAAAGTTGTCTTTGCTTACACATTAGAAATTGCCATATTACGTTCTATAACCCTGCAGCAACTGTACGCGGGCTATAGTACGTACTAGAGCTACCTATGTATGACTGAGTATAAGTATGAGTTAGCTCTAGTACTATAGCTCGCGTACAGTTGCCGCTGTAGTGCCAGTGCTGTAGCGCCAGTGGCAACTGTACGCGGGCTATAGTACTAGAGCTAAGTATGAGTATGACGTATGACTATGAGTATGACTCGAGTATGAGTCTATTATGAGTATGACATGTAACATAGTTACGTACGCCGGTACGGTACTGTAATGTAATAATTTAGTAATTGCTCGTGTCTGCATAGGCGGCAGCAGCTTGGATGAACTTATTTTTGCCAGTTTGAATCTCGGGTACAGACAAATTCAAGTACAAGTATTATTCAATGATGAATTATATCATCATCATGACATGGTCCACAGACCACACTGCAATGCAGAGAAAAGCTAATATTTTAAGTAATATTACTAATAAGTAATATTATTGGTGGCGTGTTACATCCAGCCTACCCAATAAACTGTGCCACCTCCACATTCCACTTACGCCATATTTCTCTCATAACCTCATAAATAATAGTCTTCAAAAGTCCAAGGGACTATAATGAAGACATTTATACCATTCCTAGTCCATTCATAGTCCATTCATAGTCCATTTCATTAGTCATTTCATGCAGAAATGGAAGGTCTTTCACTGTTTCATAGTATAAAACTAGTTTCATAAATCCAACTATTTTAGTCTGCCATGAAAGTCTGTTCATTTCTGCATGAAGCATGGTGTAACAGTAGGTGGAATGGGGAGGTGGCATTGCTTATTAGGTAGACTGTTTACAGATTGTAACGCTCCACTAATAATAGCTTTTATACTCTGCATTGGAAGTGTGGCGCATAGACACAATAGCGGTTAGAGTGTTACTATGGCTGAGAGGGTCTATATCCCCCAGGGTACTGCCGGAACGTACCCTGGTACTATCTAATATGCCGAACCATACCTCGCCTACTCCACTAACGAGTCTAGGGAGTTGCCTACGCCTACTCCCTAACCCTAACCCTAACCATATCAAATAGTTACCAGGGTACGTTCCGGTATACCGGACCGTACCCAGGGTACGTTCCGGCAGTATCCTGGGGGAGATAGACCCTATGAGCATTACTATGGACACCAACTCATTTAACTAATGGAAGTATCATAAATTAATTTCATGAAGTGTACCTGTATGGGCGTGTTGACACTGTGATCTACAGACATAGCATTATATAAATTTGAGTTTATTGGCAGCCGTATAGCACCGTCAACTAGCCACATGTAATGAACGTTTGGCAGTAAGATCTTACAGTCGAGAAATAGATGCGAGTTATTTTTCAGGGGTTGCATCAAATGAGTATCATTGAGTCATATCGGCCAGTCAACATAAATTCGCTCTTTTACTGCAGTTTATATACGTTGATAGGCATTGATGCAGTCCATTGTTACTTACTGATAAGATATATTAATAAGACGGAATAGTTGCTGGTGTCAGAGCCATGAATCCCTTCTGAAGAGCCAGTTCTTATTGCCCAGGAGATCCAACAAAGTGCTAAAACAGTTTGAAAATGGCTGTCATCAGCTCATTTTATATTGCAAAGTTGACAAATTTCAAATATAAATGATAAAGGAGTCGATGAGTTACAGTTTGATAACTATGGTATTTCTCCCAATCTAAAGGTTGTCTGACACATTGTTCCAAAAACAATACTTAGCGATTGATAGTTTGAGTACTCATATATTTTAACAGCCGCTTAAAGATGCATTCCCTCGCACATTTTTAGCTCAGCTGACGAAGTCAGATGCAGCTTGTAGAATCGCATGATTGTCCGTCTGTTCGTGCGTCCGTCCATCCGTCTGTCAACAGTTGGGCACAAATCTTAAGAGCTCGACGTACGGTCTTGATATTTGGAACGTCAGGGGGGGGATTGCGAAAAGGACCCGGGATGTCGAATTTGGGGGTCAAGGGTCAAAGGTCAATGGAGAGGGAATATTTTACTCTTAACCAAAGGTATAAGAGGAAATACGGAATTGCGGCACAAATCTCAACAGCTCGACCTATGCTCTTAATATTCGATGTATAGTGTGATGGGGAGGAAACCCATCACCAGCGCGAAACTGGAGGTCACATGTCAAAGGGCAGTGGGGGAAATCTGAAAGGTCAGATATCAGACATTTTCTGAGGACATGGTCTAACGGACC